TTGTATTTCCCAGCTATTACAATAAGCAGTGTTATTACAAATGCTGCAAAAGTCAAGTTAACAATCGTGCAGTTTGGGAAATGTTTGTTACCTGTAATTTAGTTGTCAAAGCTCTGTAAATGTACAAAAACAGTTTAGAATTCTGTTTGTTTTGTTTTTTTTGCATTAATGAGACATTTATTTATTTTTTTTTACCAGTATTTTAATCATAAACTCTTTTTGCCAGCTTAAAAAAAAGAATTAACTACTGATTAAACATCCATGGGCTCTGCGACCTTTCATACAGTCCACAATGACTTACAAAATCTTAATGGGCGCACAGATGCAATAGTGTAAACGCAGTAGTGCATTAAACCGAAGCTCTAAACGCATGCACACATATGAAGTCACATTACACGCCCTTACTACAAAAGACAAATAAAAAAGAGAGTTTTTATCGAGCTATAGGCATAGATCCATCTTCAGGCTCCTGCAAGTCCAGGGAGAGGGGTGTTGCCCCCGCAGGGGTGTTTGCTTAAGAGCCACTTTATGACTGTGATGCTTTTTCCAGACTAGACCTGGGCCTGAATTGCAGACAGGAATGGCACCGAGCCAGTCAGCTGCTTCATGACTTCAAGAGTCAGAGACATTTTTGGCAGGTTTTGTAGAAGTACCTGGGTTTGTCTTGATGGCAAAGATCACAGAAATTACTTTTGTGTGTGTGTCTGTGTTCACACAACAGCTTTAATGTGTGTGAATACACTGATGTGTGTGCCCCAACATTTTATGGGGGAAATGTCACCTCAAATTCTTTATATGCAAGAGTTTTACATGCAATCAGTCAAAGTATTTCCTGCATTACTTTACTCCAGTTAACTGGCACGCCCTTTGATGCTGGGCACATACTGCTCATTGCATTAATGCTGATTGTAGGTAACCTTTAAAGGTAAAATGCCCAGAGCTATCTGAATCCTGATCTGTGGTCAAGGGTGACTTCTGCTCTGAGTTATCACTTCAATGTGCCGTGACACTCTAATGGCTCAGTCCCAGCATGGATCAAAGAGCTGTTTGTGGTCAACATTGGAGATTACTCTTGGCTGCTATGCCATTCTCTCAGACCCGCCAAGACAGATCCCAGAGGTTTTCAGTACTATGATGTTTATCGGGCCTGTACCCAAACAAACAAGATGTGCGTCACTGAACACAACCATGAAATGTTAATCTTTCTCATTGTTTTTTTGCATTTATGGCAAATGGTCAAACTCATGTCTGCAGCTTTCTCTAAGTGTGTGTGGGTGTGCTTGTATTATCTGGGGGAACAAATCTGTTTTCAGTAACATTGTGGGAATCAAAATTCATTTGGGGGGACAGAAAACAAGACCCTATAATAGAAATCATTACATTTCAGTAATGAGTCTGTGGTGGGGATGTGGAGGTGTTTCGGTTGGAGTCGGGGTTACATGAGAGTCCAAATAACGCCCTTTGAAGTGAGGAGCGGGGTTGGGGGGGTGGAGAAGACTAAATATTGAGCGAGATTGTGAAAGTTTTATAAGAAAGAATAAAGATTAATAATAGTAAAGAGGGTGCTGGGGCTCAGACACACCAAAGCATTTTGGCGCTCATTCTGGAAACCAAATCAGAGTTTAGCAACTCTGTGGAGTCGAAGGAAATATCACAACTTGTCAGCGAGCTAACTCCACAATACCCCCCACGCACCCAGCCCACTGTGAAACTGATCAGAATTCATAACATTGTAAAGACCATGAAAGAGCAGGTGCGCATCAGTTTTATTCCTGGTCTCATTACCTTCCTTGTTTTCCACACAGTAACTCCCAGGTGGGAAACGGCCTCAAAACCGCAGCTCTAATTGTAAGCATGTGGCTTGCGCAGCGTCCAAGGCGCACTTGACTTTTCCGTGTTGTCCGGTCCTCTGAGCTTAAAGCTCTAAAAAGGGGATTTTAGATCCCATCCACATCCAAACATACAGGCACCGCAGTGCCGCAGAGCTGCCTATATGTTGCAGATGGGTTTGGGTTTAATAGCTACTTTAACCCAAAATAAAAATCACACTGAGGAGGAAATAGTTTTTTTTAACATCTTGTTTATTTTCTGGACGATTCTACGGCTCGTTCAAAGCCTTCAGGGCTCTCAAAGCTTTGTAGAAACAATAATGCCAATCTGATCCTGAAACGCGCGTCAGCTGGGGAGGAAGTGCTGCCGACAGAACAGCAGAAGGTCCTGACAGGACTCACTAAGAAAGCCAAGCAGACGGATCCTATTGTTAAATGTGTCTGATGTGAGTTTATTAAGGTGGCCCGGTTTAATCGCGTAATGCAGCTACTGAGCTTTAAAACTCTAAATATTCCGTCACTGGGACGAACTTTATTTTAATCCAGGTGGTGAAAATGTGACATTTTTAAGCTTTTTAGTTAAACTCTGATGTTTGTGGTTGAACCCCACAGCTCACACATGATATCACACCTCCAGCAGAGGCCTGGCGTGGAGATTGAGTTCTGCTGTGGTTGATGCAGCTTCACACATTGGAACCTGCTGCTGATGTTCCAGTACTCTGTTCCTTAACCATTCACGTTTCTAACAGCTAACATTCACCCCAGATTAAAGGAAATTTAAATTCAGGCACTTTATATTGTAAGGTTTACACATTAATCCAGAATAAGTGTGAATAAGTACACCCATCCCACTGTCGTCCTTTCATATTTCTCCTCCGCGACGGTCTCATGAGGGAATTTGGTACGTGATGGCAAGGAGTTAGAACAACACCGAACCTTTAGGTCCATTTACTATCGAAACTCAATCTTGTGGAAAACAGAAGAGCTGAATTAGTTTCCTGAGATAAATATTAAAGTCCCTTCAGGGAAATCAGACTTACTGGAGATTAATGGCGATAGAGCTGTGGCCTTCCTTCTTGAGTAAAAGCAAACAACTGTGTCTTCGGAGATCACTTGTTTTTAGTAAAATTCACATCTGAAAAATTTCAAATAAATTATTTCAACGCCTTATTTAACTTCTCTAACACAGCCAAGAAATAATCAGGAAACGGGGCCAAATATACGAAGAAATTTGTTTAAAGGGACTTTTTATGAAATCCCTGGAAAACAGATTAGATAAACAATCACAAGCACAGTTTTTCAGCAAGTCTGAGATTGTATGTATGTTAAAAAAGGACAGAGCACATCAGTTAAAATCAGCAGTTGGTTCCGTCATGCCTGATTTGTAGCTACAGGCTCGTTTTCATCTCCAATCTCTGGCAGGTGGAATTTATAAACGGCGGTGACGAAAACATCCATGCACCTTATGTGAGTGCGCCTTTATTAAAGCACAATTTGTCCACAGGTCCGAGGCTTGGCTCCACCACCGACTGTCAGCCACAGACTTCACCTGATCTGTTGTCGTCTGAGGAAGTGTTTCTGCCTCATGCCGCTTGTGTTTACTCCGACAAGCATATTCTCTTTAAAACTGTGTCCTGGAGGACTTTTTCAAATTAAAACTACGTGTTAGCAAGCGCACAGCACTGCTGAATTGAAGTTCACCCCAAAGCTGCCCTTCATCCAACCTCGAAGAAAGAACTCGCTTATTTGATTAACCCCAGCGTAATTACAGCGTGCCTCCTCTCCACGGTTTGTCAGTCATATCATTTACAAATTACAAACCTATTAATGTGGCTGCTGGACCCAAATTATGTGAGACGAGTTGCGGTGATACTGTTGGAATATTTTCCGTCTCGCTGGGATCTAAGCTCAGTGCGTAAAAACGCGCAATAAACCCGAGGCCAAACAGAAAAGGCGCCCCTCTCGTTACATCTCGTTACATTCTGCGGTGACAAAGAGCTCTCATGTGTTTCTGACAGCGACGTTTGTTGTCAGCTGAGCTTTTAAAGGTAAAACAGTCTCATTCAGAGGTTGCCGGGTTTGCGCGGCCTGCTGCGCCACAATGCTCTAAACAAGTCCTCCAGTCACTGCTAAACACTGAGTGTCGTTCTCAATATTAGCAAACCTACTTCAGGGGAAGTTTATAATTAGACACGTGTTTTTTCCGCTTTTTGTCAGTTGGAGATCCACTGATCCCTCTGTAATTTGTTTTACAGCAATGAAGGCCGTACAAAGAGGGGTAAGGAGTTCTTGAGAGCTCTCTTTCAGCCTTTAGAATTGGTCAGGGCGACCCGCCGGGAAGTATGAAGGCCGTGAAGTATTTAATCCAGGAGATGTGCCCATGAAGCTACCACACAACAGATTAGAGCAGGCAGGCAGGTAGTTATCAGACGTCTGTCTTCCTCTGTAGGAACTTTGTCCATCACCCCTGCACAGTTTATTTTCCCTGACAGGAAAATATCGTTTTAAAGTATGGAGGACCTACTCTTTGACTTCGACCAGGATGGCACGGCAGACTATGCATTTTGGGGGCAGATGGACCAGAACTTCCCGTTTCAGAGCCAACTGGACACCTTCCTGCTGGACTGCACAGCAGCCACCGGCCAGCTCTCACCCTGGTCCTCGTTCGGCTGTCAGTCCGTGTTCCCGGACGCACAGCTGACCTTCACCGATCTCGACCTTCAGTCTCCAGGCCCTGCCGTCTGTCCTGGGGGAGAGAACTCCCCCACCGAAGAGTCTCTGGATGTGACCAAGCTCAGCGCGCGGACGTTAGCGCCTCATCAGCCATACAAGGTGCAGCGGCATGCCGCCAACATCCGGGAGAGGAAGAGGATGCTCAGCATCAATTCTGCCTTCGAGGAGCTTCGCTGCCACGTGCCGACGTTTCCCTACGAAAAGCGGCTGTCGAAGATTGACACCCTGAGACTGGCCATAGCTTACATCGCCCTGCTGAGAGAGATCCTGATGTCCGGCTGCGACCCCAAATCCTATGTGGACGAGTGCATGAAGAGCGGCTACAAGAATCAAACCAACGCCATCTGGAACACAAGCGGTGGGCTGAGTGCTCCTTAAGCTCACGATGGTGTCATTTACTAACGATTCAGATCCAGCCAGCAGAGAAGCGATCGTGATGGAGCAAAAATCTCCTCTTAACGCCATCTGAAAAAACGATTTATGCAGTGAAAATGCAGTTAATTTACATTCAGTGAAATATTCAACTGTTATACTA